ACCGGGTGTCTTCTCCCTTTTGAGTTTTCTGATGCCTGCCAGAGCAAGCATCAGATTAGCGAGCGGGAGCGACTTTTGCGACCAACAGGCAGAGGTTCTGAGGTACCACTGCGGAGTTTTGTTTGTCAATGGTGGTTGCTTGGGCGGCAGTTTGCGATTGTCACGGCTCAAGCGCAGACTGGGCTTGTAAGTGAAAAAACAAATACCAGAAACCAGTGGAAGTGGTTTGCAGCATTTTGTTTGGTGGGCCAAGCGAGACATTGACAAACCCTGAAGCCCTGAACCAAATGGTCCCCGCCCGAACTTTCAGCCGAGCTGTTTGCAGAATCGTCTTGCGAGGCGGAGTTTGAGACGAGATCGGCAAGGCCCCGTGCATTGGATGGTCCAACAACTCCTAAAACAGAGGCTCTTCGAGCGCGGAATGCCAAGCCTTGACCGCCTCGCCTCTGCATCCCTTCAACAGCTGCAAACGGCTTGCTTCAGGACCCATCCCTTGTACCTGTTTCATGGCATCCGTCCAGGGATTGAGTGTGCATCCATGCACGTCTGCAGGCAATGGAAGGTTTAGGGTTGTGCGGGGCAGTCCTGTCAGCGAGTGTTTGAAGGGCGGCGTAGCTGTTCAGGGAGCCCTGTAAGATGTCAGGGCTGCCACGGTTGCAAACTCAGATCCTTTCCGGCAGAGTGGCGGAGACCCGGACTCAGCAGGTCAGGCCGCCGCTTTTCAGGTGTTGGCAGTCGGTCTCGGACTTGGCATCAATGCAACATCCGGGGCCCATTCAGCTCTAGGACGGCCGACTTGACACCCAGAGCTCGAGCACAGGAGACCGTGCTGGCAGTGCAGTTGGGTTTGATTCTGTCGAAGCTTGTTGACTTAGCAGACTCACAGGTCTGTGGAGCACCATGAACGGCAGCTAAGCCGCTATGCCAAGAAAGGCAGCCAAGCCTGGGAGTCTAGGAAGTAACTGTAGGGGAAGCATGAAGTTTTGACGGTTTTGGGGGAAAGTGAAGACGGTATGGAAGAACAGGTTCGCTGCACGCCTGCATCACGGCTTGCTCCAACTTAGCTGCGATTGGAAAGGCGCCGAAGCTTGACGTCGTGCGTGTGGTTCCACTCGCCAGTGACACCAAAGACTGATGGGTGTCACAGTGGCCTGAAGTGCATGTCATGTGGAAACCGTAGAATCCCCTCACTCCACACCGTAGGGGATGACGGGAAGCTTTGCCACACGCCATCCCTGTGCACACATTTTCTGTGCCACCGGCAGCAGCCTGCAACAGAGCCGCGCAAGCAGGGCGCCCGAGACGCCTGTGTATGACAAAGAACTCCAAGAAATTGCCGCAAGAGAAGTCGTGCTTGAGTTGGGTGGCGACTTTGCCTGTCTGCACTTGTTCTGGATTTCTTGCTCTGCCCGGACTAAGAGCTGTGTGGCTTACTGTAGGCTTAGCCGCGTGGGTGCCAGCTGTGCTCCATCTGTACACGGCATTTCCGCGTTGGGGCTCGGCTCCAAAGGCCGCGATGTTGCAATTATTCAAGCAGGCTGGCTTCCGCTTGGCCTGTCTGCTTCCTTCGCACAGGACACCGGCTTGAAGAATTTGAAGGTCCTTTCTGGACGGCACCGAACGGTCGGGAAGGGGGCTGCCAATGCAGCATACTTTAGCACGATCTTGCGCGGCCGGTAAAGATAAGTACCGAGTTTGGCAGGCCCGCTAAAAGCAATCGGTGCAGCATGCCCGCCCAGACATAGATTTCGTGGACCTTTCAAGACACACAGGTCTCAGTCAGTCAGGGCCACCGCGCGCCCAAGTCCTGTTTTGGGGAAATCTTGTTTTGCTCCGTGAGCTTAAGGGCCGAATGTTTCTTCTACAGACCCTTTGCCGAAAGAGCTCGTAGGTCTAGAGGTGATAGACTGGTTTTAGGCGCAGGAGTAAGTTTAAACCTTGAACACGCAAGATCCGTAGCCGTAGCCGCTAGCAGGTCTCTCAGGGTTATGGCTCCCTGCGCAGGGGTCCTTGCAAAGAGATCCGCTTAAGACGTAACCATGTAGCACTCCGATGTCTAAAAGCCCCCACTTAGTACCGCATGTGTGCGCCCTATGTAGGGAACGCCTTAGACGTAGAATTTGAAAGTCAGAGGACCAGGACGATTTAGGATGCTGACAGGGATCAGGGTTCACAGATCCCAAAAACTCATGCGTTGAGGGGCACGCGTTCGCAACGACACGGTAGGAACGCAGCACTGAGCTGCTGCCAGCGGTCTGTGCTTGTCATCACCTCATGCACAAAACCCAGTCTCTGCATAGAGCGATAATGCAGCACGAGTCGGCCTGACAGCCGGATGAAAACGTCCAATCATCCCCAACCTAAAGGCCAGGATCAGTACTTGGAACCCCCTACTGACAACGTAGGGACTCGCGGTGCGGATTCTTGTTTGCCCCACTTCTCTCTGTTCCGCTCATGGCGCATTCAGGTTTTGAGGTGTTCATGAGCTGAGAACCGGGACCATTCGTGCACCGCAGTAGGGTGCTGTTTCCGGCCGTGTTTTCGTACGATGGCCGAGGAGGACAGCGCGTCTGGCACAACCACAGCAACGTGAGGCGGGCTTTCTTAGCCAGGAAGAAGGAGCCTGGCTCTCCCTGGGCCGGACAAGTTGTGGGCCCTTGGGCGTCGGGGGTGGCAATGTACCCCAGCAGCAAAGCCTGAAGCCTACGTGCTTGCTGTTTTGTTTCGTCTGGTCAAAATCTATGAGCAGTTCTGGGCTGTATGCCTCTGTCATGTCCTTCTTGTCAGAACGGCCTCCCCAAAGTGTGAAACGTGCGAAATGTCTTAGCAGGACGGGTCCACTGAACCTCGCAGCCGTGGATTTCCAGAAGTGAGCCTCCAAGATGCCCTGTGGGCAGATACTCCGGTGCTGAACCCGAGGCCCGGCGCCGAACCCCAGGAGGCTGACGGGGCCCAACATGTAGATTGTTGTTTGCGCGTTTTCGGCAGCTGCATGAAGGCCAAATAGCACGTTCCAGTTCGAGGGAGGGATAGGACTGCAAGGAGAAGGGGCCGGTGGGCTTGTGAGCTTGGCAGCGTGCCTGCCACACTTGTCTGTCCTCCGAGCTTTTGCCAGACTTGATGCCCAGATTCGTCTTTAGCCCAGGGCAAGAACATGCACTTCTTGTAGGAAGCAATCCTAACCCTAAGATCTAGTATACTTGCAGACCCTGCCTGGTATCGTCCGAGTTTGAGAGTCAAAAATCCTAAAGCGGAAGCATCTCTAATCATCACAGCATGGTGTGAGACTTTGGAGCCTGAAGCTCGACGTATGTGTTTGTGCCTCGTACTCTTCTCCCAGCTGAACCAAAGCAATCTGAGGGTTTGAGGTCAAGCTTGAAGGTTTTAGGGCATCAGATCCCGCCAACATCACAGGCATTGTGTGGCCCCATGGTCATTTCTGATATGCCGAGTTCATTTTGCTTAAAAAGCCAAGGAAAGCGCATGCAGAGGACACTTGGGTTTCAGTTCGTCGGCTGCGGGCGTCACAGCCATCGACCTAGACTCGGCAGAAGTTTGGACCCTTCGACTTTCTCGTTGCTGCTGATTGGTTGAGCACTGGTGTAGCACGGCGACAGACATAAGTTTAAGGAGTTGTCTGCAGTGCAGGAGGCGACGCACGAGTTTCGACAGCTTGGGGGGAAGGTATCCTTCTTTTGGCCTCGTGCTCCTGGGCAAGGCAGCAAAGGCCTTGAGGATACAGTGCCACATTTCCAGCAAGGCTTAGATTAGATTTTAAACAGGTGCAGGCGGAGCCTTTGTTTTGTTTGGTTTTGGACCGGTCACCTCTCCGGCTTTGCCGGGCCTTTCATCTCCAAGTCTCCAACTGCTTCGGAGCGCTTTTTGCAAAGACACCGCATTTTTGAAGTTCCATAAATCTTACGACTTGCGAATGGCAGTCGTCGAAAGAGGCTCTCAGATGACTCAAGTGCAGCAATGTTGCAAGACTTTGAATTTTGAAGCGAAGCAAATCATGCGGATTGATCTAGACAGAAAGGCCTTCAACCAACCGTCAAGCCAACATAACTTCCGTGGTGCAGCGGTGCAGTCTACAGAAAGCCCCTGAGATCTCCACAGGCGCCTGCAGTTCCAAGTCTCTCATGAGCATCCTTCGGCTCTTGTGGTGGGCGCTTGCCGCCTCCTCTCTCCTCATCTCAGGATCCGGCCCTGTGGCACCCTGCAGGAGGGTTTAGGGAAGTGCATACTTATCGCCCTACAACAGGAATGCAAAAATCCACGGTAAGGGCTCGCAGTGGGAGGCTCACGCTCTGCTGAGTAGTCAGGCCAGGAATGAGTCTGAGGCTGCTGGAGATCTTCGTTGCCAGTCGATGGTGGTGCTGCACCGATACCACTGCCCCCTCTTATGTCTACACCCCGCACCGGAGACTGCACCAGCACGAAAGGTCTAAGCATTTCCCGGCCCCGAAGTCACTGAGGGTGTCGTCAGAAACCGTCCAATCAACTGCCGTGACTTTACAAGTCCGAGACTGCTTTTTGGTGGTAGTTTCGCTGCCTTCTCTTGACTCCTTGGAATGTCATTGCCCCAAGCCAAGCAACTTGTATTCTTGAAGGTGAAGTTGGCCTCCTGCAGAGGATTTATTTGCGATCTGTTTCTGCGCTTTGTCAGAGCTTGTGCAGACTGAACCAGGGCGCACAACTGAGCCTCAACCCCCACAAGCGTGGCCTGGTNNACTCTTTGTCACTCCTACACCCTTCAGAGTCCTTGGGCTCTGAAGCCGGGAGTTTTCTGCCCAGTTCACTGTTCCACGGCTTTGTTCCTTGACCTCGCCTTCAGCATCGCGCACTGCGTGGGTGAAAGGGGAGCCAGAAGATTCTATCAAAGAGATTTGAAGGAGTCCAAGGGCCGGCTGCGTGGAAGGAGTGCCTTTTGCAAGAAGGAGCCTTGCTCAGGGAGGGGCTGGTTGTGCGTTGGCGTTCCTTCGCCCCTCCTCCCGTGCTTACGGCCTCTCGCAGCAGAAAATCGGAAAGCGAGCCATGTTAAAATTCCGCTAACAAATGTCCTTTCAGGGAGCAGGGTGGCGCACCCAGTCCAAAACGCCAACAAAGCCAAAGCCGTCCTTCTTGAAGTTTTGGCGTTTGAGCTACAGTGGGTCATGCCGTCGAGCTTAAGGCTTTGGTTCTAAGGCAATCAGCCTTTCTCCTCGCAAAGGCTTCTCAGGCTCCATGAGCTTATGGTGAATGCCATGGATCACAACAAGCGAGATTCTGGCATGGTGTGCTGCCACAGGTCTGACCGTTTCTCTGGATCTTTTCCCAGAGACTGACTCAGGATCTGCTTCCATGAAGATTGTGTTAAAGCTCTTGCACCTCTGTCTGGCAACAGAAAGCTGAGTGGTGCGACGGTGGCTGAGAAGGCACCCAACATCGATCCCAGCAAGGTGAAGTGGTCCTTGACGGAAGGACGTCATCCGTTTCATTGCATTACATTTGTCACTCACGGCAGGTGGCATGTCCGTGCATTAGGCTTGGGCTTGAAGACTTTGGTTGATCCGCGTGCGGGACCTACCTGCTCATGGCTTGTCCGCTTGTGCTCATTCATTGCCTTGGCGTTTTTGCTTCTCCGCCAGTCGTGTGGAGCAGAAGTGCTTCCGGTCTGGCGGCCTAGGTTCCCTGCCCTCCAGCGTGCTCAACGTCGCAAGTCTGTCTTGGTCATGTTGTCAGCCGGAGGCGCTGTTCGAAAATTTTGCGCTGGCCAGCCCTCTGCTGTCTGAGATGTTGACGTCAGAGCTCGATTCCCCCTGACACGCCTCCGACTCCACATCCTGATGCACGGGCCAGTTCAGCTCTGCGCGTAGGCCGGCCCGCTTGAACATCAACCGGCTTCCCCGAAATGCTGGATCCTGTTCATGAGCTGCAGTGAGAATCACATAGTTGCCTTCGCTACAGCTGCTTGCTGGCGATGGCCCCTTCCCGTGCTAGTGGCTGCCTGATAAGACAATGCTTCAGCCTGAACCCTAAATCCTAAAACCCCGGCACTGGTTGTGCACTTGCGGGTGGGCTTCGTTGTAGCTGAGAGTGCAGCTGTCCGTGGAGTCCACTCTTCTTTCTTCAGTTCGGACGAATTCCCTGCGGTGCGACTTGGTCAGCTGGGCGGTGGGAAATAACTGCCGCGCAGTGTCAACTAGTCCCAGAGTGCTACTTGTACCGGTACCGAAGTGGTTGACCTGGCCGGTTGTTTCACAACTTCCCGAGGTGGATGATGGGCTCGTCTACTCGCTGGGCTTTGGCTGGGCGGCGTGGAATTCCCACGATTTTTGAAAGTGACGGTCCGTGCTGATGGAGCAGACGGCAAAGCGGCGAGCACCTGAAACAGGCAAGCAGCGCCGCCAGAAGAGTGGAAGCGCGCTTGATGTTCCTAAACCTCACCCATCCCAAACCCGTAGGGCGCTGGGCTGCAGAGCAGCACGGAGCGCCTTAACAATAGGTGACCTCGTCTCCCTGCTGAAGATCTTCTAGCAGCTCAGAGGCTAGTAGTGAATCGATAGGCTCTTGACTTGCGGCATACGTCTCCTTCGCCAGCTCTGCTTCCGCCTCTGTCCTTCTTCTATTATTGATGATGTGACGCCGCAGCGCTTCACCTCAGCAAGACCATGACTTGCCAAGCAAGCTTCCATACGATTCCCGTGAAGGCACGGCTGTTGGGACAACCAGGGCTGTGGCTGGTTTTTACAGAGATGCTTGCCAGCTTCCTCGGTTGTGTTCGTTCCCTGCGCCTTACTGTTGGCTTCCTACTCATATCGGAGGGCTCAGACAGCACTGCCTTGGAAGCTGCTGGACCTAATCGAGGACTCAGAATCATCAAGGGCTTTGTAGACGACCGCCCAGCAAATTTTCAGAGAGCCAGGCGGCTTAGCCTCTTTCTTGCCCTGGGCATCCTGGCAGGGCACATACCAGCCTGAGATTTTTGAGAGTCCGACTACAAGTTCGTGAGCGTCTGCTCGCTGCATCTTGCATTTTCAGGTGAAGGCTACGGCAGAAGCCCGCAGCCGGCGTGCTGCTCCTTAGTGTCGCACGAATGCGGGACTGTGATGGCGGCATGTTTGTCCACATCCAGGGCTCCGGCATGTATCATGTCATACCATCTTGACTGGGCTTAGTGGCGTCGGTGGCTGCACCACCTCTTGGACCGTTATTGAGTCCGTGATGAACTCTTTGTCCAACAGTGCTTCTCTGAGGTCTGACCGCAGTGCCGCGGAAAGTGCACCACCTTCTTAATGTTAAGGTGCCAGTAACTTAAAGCATCCCGACCCCATGCGAATCCTTGAAGCCCCAGAGATTCGACGCCTTGGAACAGACAAGGCAGACCTTGTAGATTGCAGTGCCCAGGACAGCAGGTTGACAAGAGTCAATTCCAGCTAGGTCCTGCATGCGTTGCAAGATGGCACAGCTGCTGCCTCTCGCTCATCGCGCGTGTCCAGCTCTTTGCCTCATCTCGTTGTCCCTTCGTGACAGTGAGAGCAGAATTTGTTGTTGCTAGGGTGATGTATTGTGAGAAGCGAAAGTAGGAAGATTGGAAAACGGCAGGTGTAGGAGGTCGGGATCCAGTGCATCTCTAGGCTTGGCGACTAGGGTTGCGGTGGGCACACGGCGAGAGCTTGCTGAGCTGAGCGCTGAGTGCTAGGTGGTCTAAGCAGGGTTGTGGCAGATGGCCTTTCATCTCCATTGTCAAACGATGGAGAATAGCCTGGCATGACTCGCACGCTCCGGGCTGTGACTACACCTGAGATATCTCGAAAGGTCCCGAACACCCCCTGAGCCATACCGCACAGCCATCGTCTCCCCGCTTCGGGCGGATCTCGCCCCTCGCCGGTGTCCATAAGACAGCATGCCATCCCGGCTGAGGGGCCCTTTCTTTCTGCCAGGGCGAAGGCGTCTACCTGTCACTGAGATAGGCCGTCT